GCGGGGCTCGATCCCAGGACCCTGGGATCATGACCTGAGCTGAAGGCAGACGCCTAACGACTGAGCCACCCAGGTACCCCGAAGAATGGCTTTCTGATTGCACTGAAGAGAGTTACAAGAGAAATCCCTGAGTGAATGGAAGAATGATACAATTTTCCAAAATTTGGAAATTTTGTGGATTGTTTTGGTATTTTAAAAATTATATGTATCATATGCTGAAGAACTTCAGCAGCACGGGCAAATTTCTCAGGCCGCAAACTCAAATATAATAATATATTTACATAAATATACATAATATAAAAGTATTTTAATATATTGCTTATTTTTATGATACTTTGGTTGTAAGAATCCCTCATCTGACCCAGCGGTAGGCAGAAACTTAACCAGTTTGAATAAACTCAGCCACCTCAGGGCTTTCTCCCTTTCCACTCTCCTTGCCCAGGGCTTGGCTACAGGACTGGTGGGAAGGAGGTAACTGTCTCATTTTTGCCTCTCTGCTGCTCATGTCCACATTCCTGCTGATGCCTGGTACTTGGCTTCCATTCCTGCTGGCGTCCACTGGGAACCTCCAACCCTGTCTGGGCACTGATGGTCATCCACATGGGCCCTCTCGGCTCTGCCATTCCTCTCTCAGCTGCTTCAGGGCCTCTTCCAACAGCTCTCAAGTCCCACTGCAGTGCTTCAGGACTCTGGGTTGTGGAGGCATCCCATTTGGCTGATGAAATTCCCCCCAAGATCTGGAGAAAAGATCATTGCACAGGGAACTGCTTCCTCCCTAGGTACTAGGGAAGAGATGGGGCCTAGCCCTTGGGAGTTATATCATCCACCTTACACAGACCACTATCACACATTCTTCTCAAATCTATGGTTTTGCAACAATCATGCCGTAAGGCCTTTCGAGGAACTTGAGAATTCCAGGTCTATCAAATCAAAAGTTAGGCCTTCAGAATTATTGTCTCTGTCTCACTTTACATAAGCCTACTTTGAAACTTCAAAGCTGAACGTTAAGCTATTTCTGGCTCTTTGCATTTCTAGATAATGGCCCTACTAACTGAGGGACAAGGAGCAAGAGAAGTGGTATAAAGAATTGGAGAGTGGGGAGACAACAGTTAAAATGAAATATAATCCTGCCATATACCTATTCGTTCATCTGTCTGGATTTAGCCTCTATCCTCACCCATACTGCTCTCTCCAGGGCTCTGGTTCATGTTCTTCCCTCCCTGAAATTCCATCTCCCATTCCCACCTACCTATCCATGAGAGCCCCACTAGACATCTGCCTGCCAATTCTAGCAGACCTTTCCTGACTTCTCTGACACCCACGCTCTCCCTCCACTGCTGAATGAGCCCCAGCACATTCAACCATCTTACTTCAGTATTTTTCTGTTTCCCACACAAAGTATCATCTCTCCTGACAAGGTAACAGCACCTCAGGCACAGGCCTTGTTTCCAACAGCTTTACAACAGCACCCATAAGACGTGACCAGCAAACTGATGCTGTGGTTTCTTCCAGAACTGCTTATTGAAGTGAACCAAATTTCCCCTAAACACATACACACTCCTCTCCAACAACTAAACTGACTACAATTACTGCAGCCAATTACCTTAAACTTGATGCTAATGGGGAGGAAAAAAGCAGTGAGTTTCTAGAGGGTAGAGAAGAAAAGAGGCAGAAGTTTAGGAAGGGTGGGCACTGAAAAAAGGTAAGAATTTGAAGATCCCTCTCCCTATTTCCTTAATAGTGTTATAGTGGCCATGTGAACAAATCCTGGTTTGGGGCAGTGATGTCACAGTAGGAGGTCAGTTTTGATCAGGAGCTAGGAAACTAGTTAAGTTGTTTTACTATTATTTAATGTTAACTAAAGTAATAATTTATTGGGCATTAAATCTGTTTCTTGCTCTATGTGCAGAACTTTAGGAATACAATTTATATAATCACAGTGTATGTTTCTGGTGAAGAGCTGGAGGTGACTTAAATATCCATTACTAAAGGAATGGATAAGCAAAACGGCAGGCCTCTTCTTTGGATGGTCAACACTTATTAAACCACAGCACTATGTTAAAAAAAAATTTCTTTCACAACAAAATCACTTGTAAAAGTTAATACCACAATCAAAATACAAAAGTTCATTCACCCCAAAACTCCCTCATTCTACTCCTTTGTAGCCCCATCCTCCCCTCATCCCAGTCATAGACAACCATGGATCTGTTCTCTATCACTATACATTTGCCTTTTTGAAAATGGCATAGAAATGGAACCACACAGTATGGAACCTTTGAGACCAGCTACTTTCACTCACTATTCGTGCCTCTGGGATTCATCCATGTTGTATGTGTATTGACGGTTTATTCCTTTTTATGGACAAATACCATTCCATTGTATGGACATACTCCAGTTTATCCATTAAGCCATTGAAGATGTTTGGGTTGTTTCTAGTTTGGGGCAGCAATGAATTAAACTGCTATAAACATTTATTGTACAGGTTTTTTGATAAACATATAATTTTATCTCCAAGATAAATACTTAGGAATAGGACTGCTGGGTCATAAGGCAAGAGTTTGTTTAACTTTACAAGAAATGGAGAAACTGTTTTTCAGAGTGCTTGTATAATTTTTTATTACCACCAGCAATGTATAAGAATCCTAGTTTCATAAGTTTTCAGGCTATAGATACTGTACATATATCATTAGATTCATATTCATTTCACCTTTTTGAACTATTGTAAATAGTACTTTTAGAATTTCAGTTTTCAATTTTTCATTGCTAGTATATAGAATAAATGCAATTGATTTTTGCATGTTGATCTATATACTACAACCTTGCTAAATTCATTTATTAGTTCTAGCAGTTTTTTGTAGATTCCATGGAATTTTTGTAGATTCCATGGAATTTTTCTAAACAATCATGTCATCTGCAAGTAGGGACAGTTTTATTTTTTCCTTTCCAATACGTAGGCCTTTTATTTCTTTCCTTTCTTTCTTTTTAAGATTTTATTTATTTATCTGAGACACAGAGATACAGACAGAAAGAGAGAGCATGAGCAGGGGGAGAGGCAGACAGAGAGGGAGAAGCAGGCTCCCCACTGAGCCAGGAGCCTGATGTGGGGCTTGATCCCAGGACCCTGGGATCATGACCTGGGCCGAAGGCAGATGCTTAACGACTGAGCCACCCAGGCGCCCCTAGGAATAGTACCAATTCTGAAAGTACACAAAGGGTACTTTATTTTGTTTGGATGCTGAGAGTTGAGGGGGGTAGTGACTTGGATTGCTGGGTCCAGATGACAGTAGGCTGGGACCTGGACCCCTGAGTCTGAGGGAGGAGAGGACCAGGGGCCTGATTCCTGGGTCTGAGGGAGGAAGGGGCTGGGGCCCTAGACTCCTGAGTCTGAGGGAGGAGGGGGCTGGGAGTCTGGACTCCTGGGTCTGAGGAAGGAGGGGGCTGGCAACATGGACCCACAGATTCCTGAGAGATGAGAGAACTGGGGGCCAGGCATCAGGGACCCAGTATTTGAAGTGAATTTCTTACTATCTTTTCTCTTACTTTGCTCCTGGAGGCGGTGCCAAAACCACAGTGAGCACTAAAAACTGTCTATCCTGTAAGTCTGTTCCTTGTTAAAGGGCATCAATCAAGACAGTCCCTTCGGTTATTCTAAGAACTGCCAAAGCTTCCAGAATATGCCAGCCAGACAGTGAGGACAGAATCAGCCATGCTCACTACCATCATACAGAGAGACCTCCTCCCCTGAAATCTGTGGGCACTGCCCTGGTCAGGTTGCTGGGGCAAGGATGGGATTGGCCATGGTCCTTTTGTAAGGTGCTTCATCCCTTCCTGCCTCCTAATGATCCCAACGCACCCTGTCCTATAGCCCCAGGATGTAAAGGCATCTGACACCTAAATATTTCTCATCCCCTCCCGGAATCACATGCCGATTCTTAGTGTTTGGAATGTTAAAACATGAAATAATTGGGGGCTACGATATAACCTAATTGTAACTCTTTTGTCCTGGGTTATTTCATCTTTGAAAACATTTTTTGGTTGATTCTAAAAGGCCATAATATTCTTCCTGATCTAGCTAAATTGCTTTCTCTTATATTTGTATTAACTCTCCCTAGTTTTTTTAAAGTTCTAATTGTGGTATTTCCTCTATTAAAAATATTCATTTACACCACAGCACTCACAGAAACAGCACCAAGTCTAAGAGTACACCAAGGACCCCTTTGCTTCATGTTACATATAGATCTGGACAGCTTACATATGTATGAAACAGAGTTTTCAGCCACGAACAAGAAATCCGAATGAAAGCCACGTCTTCCCGGTGGCAGTGGCACGGCCACGTGGGTGAGCTACAGCGGCAACCTGCGCCCTCACAGTCACTGCTCATGCCCCCAGTCAGGGGGGCTGGAAGTGACTCTGAAGCCGGTATTTCTCTATTCAGCCTTCCAGAAGGCCATGGAGGGGGCCGGCGCTGTGACGCGATCAGAGGGAGACGCCCGGCCTGGCCAGGAACCGCCGCGCGTGAAGGTGACGAGGCCAAGCTGCCTCCCAGGGACCACGGCCATCGGGCGGGTGCTGCGGCAGGGCCCAGGCTGGGAACACGGGAGGCGATTTGGGCAGGGAGAGTAGTTCAGTGGAGGATAGCCAAGGGTGTAACCTCCTAGCCTGGCTGGAGAAGCAGAGACTCCACCGCCCAACGAGAGAAAGTGATCAGGGAGGCCGTTTGAGGACGCACCGCCCGCCCTGCTTTGCTCACTGGGCGCTGCGAACACAGCGACCTCCCCGCAGCCCCAGCACGCTCGCCCCTCGCCATTCTGCGCATGCGTGCCTTCTAAGCTGGGCAGGAATGGGCTTCTCCAGGGCCAATGGGGTGCAGCGTTCCTTCGGGTTCATCCAATGAGCGCATCAGATGCTTTCACATTGACCAATGGGGCTTCGAGTAACCTGTTGGGCGAAGCTGGCCCCGCCTTCCGTGTGTCTGAGAGACGAAGCCGAGGCTGAGTGGAACTAGAGGGGCGTTCCGGGCCGTTCCTTCAGCACTGTGAGGTTCTTGTGAGGTTATCTGAAAGCCAGGTGGAATTTGGGTCCCTTGAGAAAAGGAGGGCTGGGGACCCAGACTCCTGGGTCCTGAGGAAAGAGGAGGGGTGGGGGGGCAGGACTCCTGGGTCTGAGCGGGATGGAGCCCGGGGGGCTCAGAATCCTGCGGCAAATGGCGGCTGGAACCCAAAGCCCTGGATCCCTCGGTAGAACAGGACTGGGATCTCAGAATTCCGAGTTCTGGGGGGCCTGGGGCCTGGGGGGCCGAGAATCCCGGGGCGTGGGAGAACATAGGCTTGAACCAGGCCTCCTGAGCCTGAGGCCGAAGGGGCGTCCGGGCCGCACCCGGGACCCCGAGGCTGGAGGGTGCTGGTCGTTGAACTCCTCTGTCTTCGGAGAATAGGGGTTTGGGTCGGAGGGTTGCAGCTGTGGAAACTGAGGCACAGTAAACGTGCCAATGTGCTCACACTCGCAGGCCAGCCAGGGCCACCCCGACAGTGGAGGCCTCGGTCTTCCGTCGCGCCGGCTGCGCCCCGCAGTGACAGTACTTGCCAGAAGGTCGATGCAGCCTCGCTGTGTGAGGCCGAACAGCCCCCTCTTCTCTCTCAAATCGCAGATCCGTAGCCGCTCTTCCAAGCCGCTCTGAAAGACGCCATGGGAACCCGTCGTGTCCAGGGTTTGCTGTTCCTCCTCCTCCTCCTCGGGGCCCCCTCCTTGGCCTGTAAGAACGGGGGGTCCCGGGGGGAGCGCTGGTTCAGAGAGGATGCACCTCTGCGGAAGGAGGCCTGGGGGGGTGGGGGTGGGGGCAGGTGCTTAACCGTGGTCTCATTTCCTCCCCAGCGGAGCAAAATTTGCACTGTCACAAGGGCATATCGATGAGTGTAGAAGAGGACCCAAGGAAGACGTTTAATTGGACCACAGAGAACGTTGAGACTTGTGACAGTGGGTCATTGTGCCAGGAATCCCTTCTGATGATTAAAGCAGGTAAAGCGAGAAAGGGCAGTTGGGTCGGGTGGGAGGAAGGGTATGTTGTGGGCAGGGCTGTTCCCCCTCCCCTGGGGCCAAACCATAGGCCCACCATCCCCTTTCTTTCCCTCCTGTCTCCGAACAGGGGCCAAGACAGCAGTTTTGGGCACTAAGGGCTGCGTGGCAGATGGGACACAGGCGATAATGTACGTCCAGCACTCCCCACCCCCAGGCATAATCACAGTGTCCTACAGCAGCTACTGTGAGGAGCCCTTATGCAACAGCAGGCAGAACTTACTGGAGCTGTGGAAGGAGGAAGAGACCCAGGGTACGTGGGGAGGTGAGACATGCGCACTGAGGGAAACTAGGTAAACCCCTGAAAAGATGGCGGGTCTTCCTTCTCTGTGTTCTTACTTGGCTCAGGCCCAATGGGGCCATACACAAAAGAACCTCAGAGCTTTTGCCTGCCTTTTTCTAAATGGTTACCTTGGGGTCTAAACACTGCTCAGAGCACTGGGCTGTCAATGAAGGCTGAGGTGTCAAGTTGGGTTTTGTGTTGATTAAGCAATAAAGTGTCAGTGGAGGTTTCCAAGCAGGATGGTGTGGCATAATCAGTCTGGCAGTTACTGCTTCCCCGATCTGGCCAGGCCCTACGGCAATCTGGCCCTGCCTAACTTTCCAGCTCACTTCCTTCTCTTCCTTCCCTGTTTGTTGTATTTCAGCTGGGGCCAGTAGTCAAAATACTTAACAACAGATATGGTACTGGCCAATCGGAATGGATGCTGGCCATAAAAAAAACCGTCCACCCCTATCTGTGCCTACCAACTGAATACCAACACTGCAGTGTCTCACAGTCCCCGAAATCCACCAAGCTGCTCACACCTCCCAGCCTTTGTCCTTGCTGTTTACTTTGCTACCCACCCCAACCCCCATTTTCACTCAGCTAACCTCTGTTCACCCTCCACCTCAACTCAGGTGTCCACTCTGTGAAAATAGTTAGCAAATTCTTCCAGGTGGTTAGATACCCCTCCATTCCTTTGCCATCATACCTTGGACACAGTGCCTACTGAGATGTACTATAATTACTGGCATGTGCTTCTTCTAGATGGTGATCTCAGTGGCAGGAACTGTGTCCTTTTCATGTCTGTCTCCACACCTAAGCACACAGTTTGGAAGTCATGTTGGATGGGTTCTGATAGCAAAGAGTCAGTTGGAGAGGCATGGCAAGGTTGCAGTGATAGGCCTTGATTATGGGGGTGTCAGCAGCAAAGACTTGGGGAAGAGAGGGAAGCAAGAAGAGACAAGTCCAGAGGCAGGACATACCCTAATTGCCCTCTGTTTCTCCCTCTAGCTCCCAGTATGTCACCACGCCTCCACTGCCCAACCTGTGTGGCTTTGGGGACCTGTTTGAATGCTCCTTCTCTTCCCTGTCCCAATGATACAATTCAGTGCTATCAAGGAAGACTTCAGATCACTGGAGGTAAACTGAACATCCGGTGGTTTCAGAGGCTGGAAAACCAGACATCTGGGTGGATCCCAAGGGGTTCTGACACTCGGGGTTTGGGGAATGAGGAAGGACTGATTCCTTTCTGATTTCCTAAAACATCCATGTATCTCCCCATCCTTTCTTGTTCCATAGGAGGCATCAGCTCATTTTTGGAGGTCAAAGGCTGTACATCCATAATTGGCTGCAGGCTGATGTCTGGGATCTTTACAGTAGGGCCCATGTGGGTGGAGGAAATCTGTCCATATCAGTCTCTCCTTCAACCCCGAAATACTGAAAATGGGGCCACCTGGCTTCCTGTTTCGGTTTGGAGGTTAGAACTAGTGCTGCTGATGTTACTGCAGTAACTTGTCCATTGTTCCTGAGGAGGTGCTTCTTGTCCTGGACCGCAGGACACCCCTCCTGACTGCTGGTCATCAACAAGTTGAGGAGCAAGTGGAGAGCTAAGAACAGAGAGAGTTCCTGTGGATGTATTTTATATTTCTAATAAAGTTTCTGCTGTGATTGGTGTATAACCCAAGACTAGAAGTGGAATTTTAGTGCTGGAAGGGCCCTTAAAATTCATTGTCTCCAACCCACACATTTTGCAGGAAACAGAGATCTGGAAAACTTGAGCGTCTCACACTGACATAGCTATGGGCAAAGCAAGACCAGAACTTCGATACTTGGACCTAAAGTCTGGTTTTCCTTTCACTCTGATTGGTCACTTTTTCTTGTTAGCTGGGCAAGAGATCAGCATTAGCCTCCTTCAGAGCACTCTGAGCCCAACCTTAAGGCCACAGTTTGCTGTTTTGTTCTAATATTTCCCTGGGAGGTATGGCAGATTTTGAAAAATCAGACTCCAAGTTCTGTTAAAATAGACCCCATCTCCTATGTCCTGTCTCTTGCCCCTTTACATCATTCCTTTCCTTCTCTGCTGCTTACTTCATGCATCTTCAGTGGACACAGGGCACGTAAGAGGCAGCTGGGGCTCAGCAGGGTATGAAAACTGGGGCCTAGGACTCTTGGGGGGAAGATTTGTTTTTAGTTTCTCCTGCTTATTATGCAAGAACACATAAAACCCATCTTATTATAAAAGACTCCAATGATATAGGAGCCACATAGGAAAAAGTAAAAGGTGGGGAGAGGATAAGGGGGAATAGACATTTATTATTTTATTTAAATAGTTTTATTGTGGTTTAACTGACATAGCCAACTGCACCAGGGGTGGAAGAAGACTTAATGAAAACTACTGACTCCTACAAAGGACAAAGGACAGGGGAGTTTGGCCATAGTATAGTCTATCCAAGTTCTTTCTAGGAAGTTTTCTGGTTCTAAATCAACTCTTTGAGTTAAAGACGCACTCCAGCTAATACTTTATCTTGGTCCCTAGGCATCCAGTTTCCCATCATGTCAGTTTGCAGGAGAAAGCACAAACAAATCAAATTTGAATTTAATGAGGGGGCATTTAAGTCTCTGAAATAATAAGCATTCAGAACCATGACTGGTAAATGCCATCTAGGGCAAAAACAAAAACAAGCCAACTAGATGTTTCTCATAGAAGAATGGCTTTCTTTCTTTTTTTTTTTTTTAAAGATTTTATTTTATTTATTTGACAGAGAGAGACA